GCAGCTGGCGAATGTCGCAAGGCTGACGCTCGCCGACCACATGAGCGCGCATCTATCATCTGATGCTGGCCCATAGCCCGCTCCCACCCATGCACCCACCCCGCCGCTCCGCGTGCATCATGGACGACACGGCCGTCAGCACGTCCAAGTGGCTGTGGTGCCCGTCCAGCCCCGAGCGCGCCATCTCCCCTCGCCCCAATTTCAAGCAGGGGCGGGCGGAGCAGGGGCGACGAGCAACTCCGCTACTCTCTCTCCTGATCGCCACTCCACCACCTGCTGCCACCTGCCCACCCCCCACCGCCTGCTACCTGCCACTCCTCGCTTCGCGATCCCTCCAACCGTCGCCCCCCCTGCCCCCCCCCCCCCCGCGCCCGTGGGTTCGTCGACGGATCGACGAACAGCGAGAGAAAGGAAGCGGGAAAAGGGGCTTGGGGGGGAGAGCGCGCAGCCCCACCCCTCCTCATCCTCCTGCCTTCCTGCCCTCCTGCCCATCCAACTCCTCCTCTCTCCTGCTCGTCCTCTTCTTCCACCTCCTACCCTTCCCCCCCGTATCCCGCCCCCGACTCGCTGCCGCCCCACCCCCTATACCTGCGCTGCCGCGCGCGCTCTCGTCGCAGGAAGCAGCGATGAGTCGATGAGGAGGGCGACAAGGAGGGTGATGATGAGGGGGGGGGAGGAGGCGGAGGATCGGGGGACGCGAAAGAGGAGGGAGGCACGCCGCGCGCGCAGCGGAAGGCAGCTCGCACGGAGAGGAGGAGGGTTGGGAGGCGAGGACAGATGGCAAGGAAGAAGCTGGCAGTCCACCCGCAACCCTGCCCCCGCCGTGGGTTTGTTGACCTGCGCGTAGGCCTGGCGCAGGATGACCGCTGGGTCCCACTGGTTGCCCTGCATGCGGAGGACGGCGCCTGCCGCTGCGGCGCAAACCAGGACTCCCTCTCATCCTCCTCCAGCTAACTCCAGCTGCCGATGCTGTTGCTTCTCTTCCTTATACTCCTCTTCCTCTTCCGACTCCTCCGACACTTCCCCAGACGTTTCCATTCTAGTCTCCATACCCCTACTCCATCCTTGACTCCTTCTCCTCCGCCCACCCTGCGCCCCTAAGCGCCTTGGGGCAAGACCTTGTCGCCGCCGCGGAGCCTCTCCGAGTCCCAGGCGTCCCCGGTGGCTCGGGAAGCCTCCTCGGCGCGGCCCAGCTCGGCGTCCTGCGGCCAGGGCGGAGGGGGGAGGGGCGCAAAGAGAAAGAGACGGCGTATGTTTCCAGATTCCCCGGGAGAATCTGGAAACGTACGCTTTTTGGCTTGCCGTGCGTTTTGTGAAAACCATTTGCGTTTTCGCAGGGCGTCCTTATGTTGTGCGACATCGAGTGTTTCGGAACGAACTTCTGGGATTCGCGGCTGCGCTTTGATATTTCTTCTAAAGGTCACACTTGGGAGAGGGAGGGGAACGCGGGGGAGGGGGGGGAAGGGCAGGAGAGAGATAGTAAGAGAGAGAGAGACTGAGGGAGAGGAGAGGGAGACAGGGATTGAGCGAGGGGCAGCGGTGCATCTGCATCCTCCTCATCATCATCATCATTCCCATCCTCATCCTCATCCTCATCATCAGCATCGTCATCACCATCGTCATCTCCATCTCCTCTCTCTCCGTCTCTTTCTCTCTCTCTCTCTCTCTTTCCCTCTCCCTCTCTCTCTCTCTCTCTCTCTCTCTCTCTCTCTCTCTTTTTCTCATCTCCATCCCTCCTCATTTCACTATTTCTTAGTATGTTGTTCTCCCCCTCTCTCTTTTTTGTTTTCTCTCTCTCTCTCTCTCACTCTCTCTCTCTCTCTTTTTCTCTCTCTCTCTCTCTCTCTCTCTCTCTCTCTCTCTCTCTCGCTATCTCCCACCTCCCATCTCCCACCTCCCATCTCCCCCACCCCTCCTTATGCTTCGCTCTACGTGCGTCGGCGGGCGGGCCCGCGTCGACGGAGGGAGCGGGCGCGCAGGGCCGCAGTCCTTGCGCTTCGCCTCCCGCTTGGCGCGCATGAAGCGCGCGTGGGCCCGCGAAGCCGCCGCCGCCGCCGCCTCGCGAGGCGCGCCAGAGGCGAGGCCCAACGAGAGGCGGGGCCAGGGGGATGCGGTTGACAAGACGTGGCAGGATGAAGAGGGAGGCGCGACTGGGCGGCGAGCCGTGCACGGCAATCGAGGAAGAGCGGGGGGGCGATTGGGGCAGGGGGGGAGAGGGGGGGGGGCAGGAAGGGCACAAGGGGGAGAAGGATAAGGAAGGAGGAGGAGGAAGAGGAGGGGAGGCTGATGGTGATGAATGGCTATTGATGTTTACACGTTGAGCAATTTGATTGGGTTCGTTTGTCCCAGCGTTTCGTTGTAGGGGGGGCTTTCGGTCGCTGTCTTTTAAGGGATCGAGAAGAAAACGCCCCCCTACAACTCAACGCTGGGACAAACAAACCCAAACAAACAGCTCCAAAAAACGCCATTCATCATCCTCCTCCTCTCCTCCTCCTCCTCCTCCTCTTCCTCCTTCCTCCTCCTCCATCCTCCTCCTCCTCCTCCTCCTCCTCCTCCTCCTCCTCCTCCTCCTCTTCATCCTCCTCCTCCTCCTCCCTCCTCCTCCTCCTGCTCCTTTCCTCGCCCTCATCATTCCTCATGCCCCATTCCTTTCTCATCCTCCTCCCTCCTCCTCCTCCCTCCCATGCTTCTCCGTCGCCACATGCTACCCGCGTCCCTTTCTGCTCGCGCCCCTCCAGCCCCCTGCCCACGCGCACCTCATCGGCGCCGCCGGGCAGCGCGCGGGCCGCGGCGGGCCGCAAGTCCAGGGGCAGCGGGAGAGCCAAGGCCATGCCTTGTGGCCATGCTCCTCCCGCCGCCCCTTCTGGCCAAAATGGCCTCGAGCGCGCGACCGCGCCACGCGGTTCCTGGCCGCCTTATCCACTTCTGCCCCATCACTTCCACCTCCACATCCACCTCCACCTCGGCAGCTCCCAGTGCTGAATCCAGCGGTCAACGGCAACGCTGCACAATGCAACGCGCGCATCGCAGCCCCAATGAATTGCGCAATGCGCAACAACGCAACGCAATGCATTGCCGACCAGCGGTCGTCCCTCACGTATTGAATACTTATGACTATAATGTATATGATACTCATACATGTAATTATCATATTACTATATTTGGTATGACATTATTATATATGATAATAATACACGGTATATGTTTGAATAATATTTCTGTATTTCATTTTTTTATTCCTTGTGTTTCTAAAAAGCACCTGTAGAGTGTCCAAGAGCAGCGCAACAATCCTTTTCCTTCCCCTCCTCCTCGTCCACACCCTCCACCTCCTGCAGCCGGGTGGGTCACTGAGCGCACGCCCGATGCCACTCTCTGAGGCCGAAAGGTGAGCAGGGACCGACCGTCCCGGCATTCCTATAGTCCTAACCATGACATGTTCCTAGTACCCAAACATGTTCAGAACAAAAACAATGTTCCCAGAACGTAAACCTGATGTGTTGAAACAAGACAGTGTCAGCCAGCAGTGTTCTAAGAACGTTGCGTGCAGACCACACAAGGTTCTTAGAACACTTTTTGGTGGGCCTATAGGCGTGCCAAGACGCTTCGCCACTGCCTGAGAAAGACCACGCCGGGAACGAGCAGTCTTCCGCGACGACCCCGCAGAGCACCGCGACGCCCGGGCGCCCCCCCCCACCGGCGCGCTCCTGCCGTCCCCGCGCAGTCGCGCCGCGGGCCTCCCAAGTCCTCGCTGCCGGCCCGCGGGCTGACGCGCAGGCGGAGGTCGCCCTTCCGCGCCGCAGGCGGGCGGGGGCGAGGCCCTCCCCGCCCCTCCTCCCCGGGAGCCTACCCCCTCTTTTGCTCTCCTCCTCCTCGTCCTCGTCCTCGTCCTCGTCTTCGTCCTCGTCCTCGCCCTCGTCCTCGTCCTCGTCCTCGTTTTCCTCCTCCTCCTCCTCCTCCTCCTCCTCCTCTTCCCCAATCCGTTTTCCCCTTTTGCCCCGTCCCTCAAGTGCGTCCTCGTCCTCGTCTTCCTGCGCAAACCGAAGCGGTGCTTCGCAGGGCCTTGCGCCAGCTGTTCGAGGAACAGGCCGTCGACAGGCCAAAGGCCAAGGTGCGCGACTGGAAAGGGACCGCCTCCTCCTCCTCCTCCCCCCCCTCCTCCTCCTCCTCCTCCTCCTCCTCCTCCTCCTCCTCCTCCTCCTCCTCCTCCTCCTCCTCCCGCGCGAGGCACGAGGCACGAACCAGGCCTGGGCGCTTTCGGCCTTTTTCTTGCAGGGAAGGCGATTACGGACTCAATATTGAAGACACCCGTTAAGGAAACCTCGTATTCAGGAGCCCTGGCTAGGGATGTTCGAAAAAGGATTCCTTTCTACGTGCACATTATTAACGACCCCCTAGTATGGACATCTGACACAACCTTCCTCACAAAGGATCCAGTACGTACGATTTCTGACGGAAGCCTTTTTCAACACAAAAACATGATTATTTATTGAAAGTTCCTGACAACGGATTTACGATCAAGGACGCCTCAGCAAGGATCCCGCACTACGGAAGCAATAATAAAGAGTCCCTTACCAAGGATTCCCGAATCTGGATTCGTTATGGTTGATTTCTTAACTAAATATTCCCGCAACATGATACCTTATTTCGGGCGCATTACTGAAGACCCCCTAGGAAGGAAACCTGACGCAAGTGTCCTCACGAAGGATGCGTTGCGAAAGATTCCTGACAGAGGACCTCTTCAACCAGGATTCTGTACTAAGGGATCCTGAAAACGGATTTGCGATCAAGGATTCTCCAGGAAAGATTGCCTAGTTAGTGAACTGGACTAAGGGTTCCCAAGAGTTCCCTCATCGGGATTCGCTACTGTTGATTATGATTTTAAGACTCCTCACGAAGGGTGCCATACTACGGATTTCTCAACCAGGAATCCTGATGATGGATTCCGTTGTACTGCTTCCTTACGAAGCAGTAGTTCTCAACGATTCCTTACAAAAGGGGTCTCTTGTTCAGGAGGCGCTGGCAAGGAATCCTTACTAAGGCTCCCAGCCAGGATCCCGTCTCACGGACCCCTGACTAAGGACTCCTCACTAAGAAATCGTATTACGGGCCCGAGATTAAGGAATTCTTCGCACGAGCTCTTTAGTTAGGATTCCTTCTGCCGGATCCCAGACGAAGGACACCTTACTGAGGCTTGCTGAATTAAAGTCCTTACTCGGTTTACTTACCAACGATCACCTACATCGGATTCCTTGCTATGGATCACAAATTCCTGACTCAGGGCCCATCCAGGAGCTCACTGCCAATCATTTCCGAATCAGGGTTCCCTGGAAAGGAAACGTTACGAATGGGTTTCCGAGTAAGGATCCCGCATACGGATTTCGTGTTGAAAATTTCGTATCAACGGGGTCCTTCTTCAGGGTTCCATTGTTCGGATTCCTTCTTAACCGTTCCTTGCGAAGGTACCAATCAGGATTCCCACCCAAGAACTCGTTACCACGGATTCCTTATTAAGGAATCGCTGCTGAGGTGGCACGACTAAGGAATCCCCACTGAGGGTTCCCTAATCGGAATTCGCTGCTAAGTAATATGAGAAAAACAAATTCCTTACTACGGATACCGTAACAATGATCCCTTAGCATATATTCCGTCTTAAGGAGTTCGTAGTACGTGTTTCCTATCAAATATTCTTGAACCGGAAGCCCCAGAAAAGGAAACTGTGTCTTGGCTCCCGACTTAAGGGTTCCTTCGCAAGGATTCCGAACGGTTCTCTATTAAGAATTTTGTGCGGAAGGTTCCTTCCTAAGGGTGCCTTCTTAAGGGTTTGCTATAAGGATTCCTTACGAAGGATTTCCAGCAAGGATTTCTTACGAAGGATTTCTTACGAAGATGTTTGGTACCGACTCCTTACTCAGGAGTCCTTACTGAGGCGGCAGTAGTAAGGAACCTGACTTAAGGATCCCGCAAGGTCTCGAAGGATTCCTGGGCTTCGCAGGGATTCGTAAGGATCCACACGGATTCCACATGATCCCTATGTTGGTTCCGGGGAAATGGGGCATTTGGGAATGAGGCCGCAAACCGCAGCTGCAATCGTTAGCTGCGTGGAAATATTGCGCGCAACTATTGCGCGCAACTATTGCGAACTATTGCGCCCGCGGGCTCAAGTATTGCGCCATATTGCATGGCCCGGCGCAACTATTGCATCGTGGCAAGCCAACTATTGCAAACTATTGCTCGCAAAAAAGCGAGACAACAAACTATTGCATCGCAGAAATAAACTACTGCGTTCGCGCGAGCAAACTATTGCACCCTGACTATTGAACTAGGCACGGTATGATGTATGTGATCGTTTGCAAATATTGCCTGAACTAACTATTGCGCGTACGTTTCGCAGCCCCATTTCCAAGGACCCCATTCGCCCGATTATCGATTATGACTATGGATTTCGAGTGGAGGGGGGATCCCGACCCCGAGGGATCCCTATGGATCCCGAGCGGAAGGGGAATCCGCAAGGATCCCACGGGATCCCGATCCCCACGGATCCCTATGAGATCCCTCGTCCTCCTCCTCGTCGTCCTCCTCCTCCTTTTCCTTTTCCTTTTCCTCCTCCTCCTCCTCCCCCTCCTCCTCCTCCTCCTCCTCCTCCTCCTCCTCCTCCTCCTCCTCCTCCTCCTCCTCCTCCTCCCCCTCCCCCGCAACTCCGCCAAGGACCTCGGCGGCCGCGGCGTGGCGCCTCGAGCAGCACCAGCACGTGCGTCGCGCGCTGTTGCTCGGGCAGCGCGACTTCGCCGGCATTCCTTGGGGGGGACCAGGGCCAGGGAGCAGGGGCAGGGAGGGAGGAGGGGCGAGGGGGGACGAGGGAACAGGGGCAGGGAGGAGGGAGGCGGTGCCGCGATGCGGGAGGACGGAACAGGGGCGGGGGAGGGGGGGAAGCGAGGAGAGGCGCAGGCGCTTCTGCTTCTGCAGGGCAGAAGGCAGAAAAGACGACTCCAGACGTGAGGAAAGGCACGAGTCTTGCATCCGATGATAAGAGATGGTGTGCGCCCTCTACCCTGTACAGGGGAGGATAAGCTCAGAGCCCGTGCGGAAGCGCGGTGAACGAAGAAGCGATTGTAGGGGCGAAGGGGCTCGTAGGGAGGGGCGACGAGGGGGGGTTCTGGGGCGCTCTTTATGCCAACGTTGGAGACGCGGCGACGGAGCCTGCAAACGCTGGCCTGACGCGGGGCCGTCGTCGCCCCTTCCTGCTCCTCCCCGGTGAAGCGAAGACGCTGGCGCGGACGAGGCGAGGGCGGAGGGCGGAGGAAGAAACCACACTGTGCCCTGCAGTAAAAGCGCGCCGACCCGGCCTGGGGACTCCCTGGGGCACCCTCGGCGCCCCCGTCGCGCGGCGAAGGGGGCGCACCGCCTTCGGCATGGGCGGGCCGCGCGCCTCGAGGGCCCGCGCGCGGGCCGCAGTGCTGCCATTTGGGGGGGGTGCTCCGGGGGGCTGCTCCGGGCCTCCTCGGGCCGGGCGCGCGGGGGGGGGTACGGCTCCTCGGCGCCCCGCGGGGCCCCGGGCGGCTCCCTGCGGCGCCGCGGTCGAGGTGGGCGCAAGGGGGATTCCCCGGGAGTCCTCCGGGTTCCCAGGGAGTCCTCAGGAACTCCTCGGGCTCTCCAGGAATCCTCGCACTCCTTGGGGTTCCACAGGGCTCCTGTGAACTCACGGGCATTCCTCAGGATGCCGTGAGATTCTTCAGGACCCCTCACGATTCTTCGGGAGTCCGTCGGGATCGCTGAGGGGCGGGCGGGAGTGGGGGGTGGGGGGAGCAGCTGACTTCGGCCGGTTCTCCTGGCGCCTCCTGGCGCTGGGAGCAGGCGCGGCGTGTCGGGGAACGCGCTGGGCGGCGGGGCAGCAAGCGGCGGCGTGCAGCAGCTTTCGCACTCACGCCCCACTCCCTCGCAGAGGGCCACGCCGTGGAGGCTCGAGGGCTTCCTCGAGAGCGGGACCTTGTGGATTGGACGCCTTCGACACCGAGATGGAGCAGGAGGGCCATATGGCAAGCGCGGCCATGTCGGCGACGAGGCCAGCTTCGACGAGGACCGCCGCGGCAACAAGCATGCTGGGCACTACGCCGACAACAACGGCGGCCTCAACGACAGCTGCAAAGCCTTCGTCGCCTCCAACAACTACTACAACGAGAGCCACACCGGCTGCCGTGACATCTGCCACGCGGGCAGCAACTAGAACGGCGGCTACCCCGCCAACTACAGTGACACCTGGTTACGGCAACTACCCTTTCAACAAGGCGCAACTGTCCGTAGTCCCCTCGCCGGCCAGGCGGTCAAGCCAGGAGTCAAAGCTGGCTCAAATCTTCGGCAGCAGCTGCGGAGGCGACACAATCAGAGACCGCACCGGCAGCGCCATCAGGAGGCGGAACAAGCTGAGATGCCCGCAACAAAAGCCCGAGCTTGATCTTATACAGCCCGCACCTCCCTGATCTCCTGCCTGACCAGCTACACCCACAGTCGGTACTCCCAATCTCTGATGGGGCTTGGCTGCCGCGTCGGTGCGCCGAAGGGGTCCCTTAGAGCGTGAAGGCACTGTTCACGTCAGGCCGCTCGCTTTCAGAGGGAAGGAAGTACCGCTCCTGCCTCGCTTCGACGACTTAAGCTAGCGCAGCAAGCCGGCACAAACAAATCTTGTTCGCCACCTGTCGAATCGTGTGCGCGATGACCGCACCGTGCCAGGTGGGCTCGGCTTCGACAGACGAGGCACGAGAGAGCACCCTGGTGTCCTACCAAATCTCGTGCATGTGCTGCCAGAGCTTGTGCCCCTGATGCCCTGGCTTGGAAGAAGAAGCAAGAGCGCCCAACCCTGGATGCAATCCTTGCGTGGGTTGCGGAGCAGAGGGGCAGGCACTCAAAACATAAGACACGTGGGGATATTGTATCTCATGTGCGGGAGGGCCTGAAGTCGCCTCTGGGATTTGCACACAGTATAGATCAGTTTATACCATACAATCCGCCGATTCCCACCTGCTGGGGGTGAGCAGACGCGTGAGATGATTGGCTATCCCCCTCCCCCTTTCCCCCTTCTCCAAGGCCCAAAATCTCGTGTACGAGCTCCCACGCGCCTCCCAGGGTATTCCGGGAAAAAGTGACAATATATATATATAGGAACATGCTTAAACACATAGGACTCGAGCCCCAGGAGAGGGGCAAGATATGGAAACATACGTAAAGCAGATGATATTCGAACCCCAGGTAACGGGCATTTCAGCTGTAATCGAGCCAGCAATATATAGGAACATATGTAAAACACATAGGGTTCAAGCCACAACAGAGCGGCAATAGGTAGGAACATACTTAAACCAGATCGGATTCAAGCATCAGGAGAGAGGCACTCCAGCTGAAGACAAGCCAGAAGGTGGGAGAGGAGGTGCGATGCGAGAGGTGACCAGGAGGTCGAAGAGGAGGAGGAGGAGGAGGAGGAGGAGGAGGAGGGGGATGGGGAGGAGCAGAAGATGAGCTCAAGAGGGTTTGCGACGACGACAACAACGAAGGCGGCGACGGCGTCGTGGCGACGAGCACAGGGTGATGGCGCGAAGGGGGCGGCTTTCTGAGAGGGCGGTGGGCTTTTAAGAAAGCGAAAGCCTTCTCATAAGCCCTTCCGGCTCTTGGGGATCGAGTCGGAGATCGACTGCAGAATTGAATTCCCCCAGAATGACATGTTTCCGTTGAAATTCTACGTATTCGTTCGTGGCTCCGGGAAAGAAACACTTCTGGGGTAAATCAATCATGTAGTCGACCTCCCACTCGAAGGAAGCCTCCCTGGGAAGCCTTCGGGCCCCTCCGAAAAAAAAACCTGACCTCCAAGGGCCCCCCCCGCGCCCCCGTAGAGAAGGTCGACCCCTCGCGCCACCTCCTTGTCAGGACTGAGCTGCATCGAACCACGAACAATCGAATCGGACCAGAAACGGATCGCACCGCCAGCGACTACCGTCCCGACCGAAGTGGAAAATCGCATCGCCGCGCCCGGCTCTAGCTGGACCCGCCCGATTACGAATCGAGCCAGAATCGCGGCCCCAGACGCGGAAACGAATCGCACCGCATCGCGCCGGACCGTTCGGTGGCAACTCATGAGAGCCTCCCATGCCATCTTGTTGGCTCTTGCGAGTCGACGCTGTATCGACGCTAGTCGACGCCAGTCGACACTACGTCGGCGCTTACCGACGCTGAATCGGTGCTTGCTCGTAGATTACAGGACGCTACCGAAGGACCGTCGGCGGCCCTGCCCGTGCGCGCCGCCGAGCGGTGGCGGCGGCGAGGACCGACGACGCGCCGGCGCGCGCACCTCTCGAGCACCACGGCGGCCGCCAGCGCCTCCGCCACCGGCTCCGGGACCTCCGCGGGGTCGTCCCAGCCTCGGCTCGCCAGGGGCGTCGGGGAGGCTCCTCCGCAGATCCGCCCCCTCCTGCTCCTGCTCCTGCTCCTGACAACTCGGAAGCCGGGCGAGGGCTGCTAAATCCGTGGCTGCTAAAATCGACCTCCGGGAAAGTGTCTTCGTCCTTCCGGGAAGAAGCCCGTTGACTGTTTCGCGTGCCGCGCCTCATTCCGGGAAGTTGTTTTTCCCTTCCGGGAGGGCCGTTTTAGCAGCCACGGTTTTAGCAGCCCTCGCCCAGCTTCCGAACAACACCGAAGAGCAATCCCCAGCATCACATCTATGTCGCTGCCCTCGCCCGCCACGAGCTGCTCCGCTGCCGCCGCCGCCAGGCGCGCGCCCCCCTGCTCCTGCTCCTGCACTGCTCCTGCACTGCTCCTGCCCCTGCTCCTGCTCCTGCTCCTGCTCCTGCTCCTGCTCCTGCTCCTGCCTCCTCCGCCTCCGCCTCCTCCTCCTCCTCCTCCTCCTCCTCCTCCTCCTCCTCCTCCTCCACCACACCTCCTCCTCCACCTCCTCCTCTGCCCCGCCAAATCCAAACCACCTGGGACCAGAGTCAATTCTTCAGGCCCTTGAGCTGGGTGGCTCCCGTCACAAGGGAAGACGGGATGGGCAACAGGGACAGGGGATGTGAATTGGAGGCAAAGGCCCTCCTCCTTCTCCTCCACCTGACTTCCTCCTCCCCCCCTCCTCCCTACTCCCTCCTTCCCCCTCGTTCTCCTCATTCCTCCCTCCTCCTTTTCCTCACTTCTCCTTTATCCTCCTCCATCCTCCTCCATCCCCCTCCTCCTCCTCCTCCACCTCCTCCCTGACTGCACGAGCCATATCCGACGTTCAGCGAGCGAGCCTGTTCATCTCTTCCTCCTCCCTTTCCCTTCTGCGGACTGGGAGGAGGGGGGGGAGGAGTGGGGGGTTTTGATCACGGGAGGGGAGGAGGAGAGTCGGGCGTCGTGCGGAGTGGCAGGGAGGTTCTTAGCATGCGGATAAGGAAGGAAGAGGGAGGTACGCAAGGAGTAGATGAGGGAAAAGACACAGAGGAGCACAAAAACGAGGACGTGGAGGGAGGAGCGAGCAGGGAGGGAAGGGGAAGGAGAGAAGGAAGACGAAAGGAGGGAGGGAGGGGAAAATAGATGAAGGATGATAAAGGGTGATGCTGCCGATGATAGCGATGACGGTGGCGACGATTGAGGATCATGACGGGACGGGGGAGGAGGCCGACGACAGGGGACTGGCGAGGCCAAGAACGACACCGACCGCGACGTCGAAGAGGCCGTTGACGACTCCACGGCCCACGAGTCCGACGAAGGCGAGGCCGACGGCGACGGCGACGGCGGCGACGGCGACGCCCGAGGCCGCTGCCCAGGACGCGGGCGAAGATCTCAGAGGGCGGCAGGTCGGCGAAGCCCTGGCGGCGCCGAGCGGGGGGTCGACGCAAACGGGGGTCAGCCAGAGCGCTGGATCTTGCAAGATCCTGCAGAGCCATGGGCGCATACCAGGGTCAACGCGCAGGACTCTGCAGGAGCCTGCAAAATCGTGCAAAAACCTGCAAGGCCTGACTGACCCGGGTTTGCACTGACCGGGGCGAAGCTGGGGAGATCGGCGACCGGCCGAGTCCGCTCGCCCGCCTTTAGATGCCAACGTTCGATAGGATGCCTCGTTGTCGTCTTCGCTGCCGTCCGTCGTCCGTCGTCCGTCGACCGCCGTTCGTCGTCCGTCGACCGCCGTCCGTCGAGCGTCGTCCGTCGCGGTCTCCGTCGTCCGTCGTCGTCGTTGTGGTCGTCGCCGTCGTCCGTGGACCGCCGTCGCCGTCGGTCGTCGGTCGTCGGTCATCATCGGCGTCGTCGTTCGTCGTCCGTCGTCCGTCGACCGCCGTCCGTCGTCCGTCGACCGCCGTCCGTCGTCCGTCGACCGCCGTCCGTCGACAGTCGTCCTTCGTCCGTCATGGTCTCCGGCGTCCGTCGTCGTCGTCGTCGCCGTCGTGGTCGTCGTCGTCGTCGTCGTCCTCGTGGTCGTCGTCATCGTCATCGTCATCGTCAACGTCGTCGTCGGCGACGTCGCCGTCGGTCATCATCGGCGTCGCCGTCGTCGTGTCATCAGCGACGGCGCCAACGTGGCGATGTAAGGGTACTCAAAAATATTTGTGGTACATTTTGTCCAGGTGGACCGCCTGCGCTACTCGAACAAAGCTGAGCGAACAACTGCGCTTATCATCGTTCGTGGAGGCAGTAGCGTGTGGAGCTTCCTTGGCCATGTTGCCCGAGACCGTCCGCATGGTCTGCTTAACCAGCACTCGCTTGCGAACGGGGTTGCCGTAATCGCGGGGCGCGTTGGAGATGCAAGCCAAATCCGCTGCAACGCGCCGTGCCTGTCGGGGTGCTAGATGGTGCCCATTTGTATGCTTGTCTGTGCTCGCGGGTCCGCGCGGCCATCTCGGACGTCGTGGTTCAGCTCGTCGCGCGCTTCGCGGGAGGAGCCAGCTAGGTTGGGAGTGGAGTCGTAGGGAGACAGGACGCGACAGGAAGTCTGCGTGCCTGCTCCGGTAGCCGGAGTGGCCCCCTGAGGGGCAGACCGCGCACGTGCGATCGGGAAAAACAAATATTGGTGAGACAGGCAACGGGGGAAACTCACGTATTCACCGAATCCACCCATCTCTGCGCGGCCTGTCAACAGATCGTTCGGCATCCATTCTCAGCGACGGCTTCCAATTCAATAGCCGCTTGCACCACTTGTGTTCCGGCTCCACGAAGACGTGAGCAGCCAGCTCTGCTTTGCGATTGCGCCGAAGATCAACCCAGCTCTTGATGGTGGATTTTGTGCAATAGGCCTCTACGACCTCTGTGGAACGCTGGATGTAATCGACGTGCGACTCTGTGGCGCCCCTTGTTGTCTGGAACATGCTGCGGAGCATCTTCCTCCTCGCAATTGTCAGCCTGTCCTCGGAGAAAGAATCCAAAGTCCAGCACTCACGCCCATGCAGCGCAGCCGGGGTGACAACGCTCTCGAACAGGCGTAAGCGAATTCGCAGCGCGTATGACCGCGAGCACAGCACATGCTTGAATTTTGCGAATGTTCTCCACGCCGAAGATAAACGGTGCGTAAGCTCCATCGCATGGTAATTAGTTATGCAGTCATGTAGCGACAGATGACGGCCCGAGTACCGCTGTGACTCCTGCTGTTTCAAGATCTCGACGCTGTCTCCAGACACTTGCACAAATGTTGGAACATTCGTTGTGATATTTGTCAAGGTTCTTCGTTTTTCCAATATGCACTGCGAGGCAGTATTTCGCAGCCTCCTGAGACAACTCTCGAAGCATTTTCTCGACATCAGCCCTGCTGCATGCCAAGAACAGAACGTCACGTCATCAACAACCCTCAAGTTGGTGAAGGGGTCCGACATGGTGTCGACGACAAAGCCGTAATATTGCCCGGCCCTGCGCTGATTCAGTCCGTGCCATCTTTTTTTCAGAACGCGAGAGCACATTTCCATCATAGCAATAAACAACAATGCAGATATGGGATCTCCTTCTTTGACACCACGAGATAAAATAAAATGTCTTGATTCCTCCCCCGCCACAACCACTGCGGTTTGGTGCTGGTGCAGCCTACGCAACAATGAAACATATGTTGCGCCCACTAGTACAGCAGTGAGAATTTCGGCCAGGGTGCGATACAGGAATAACCACTGTGCGTCTGGTCTGTACTCAACATAGGGGGTGATTTTTATAGCAAGAGAACAACGGTATGGAACGTAAGAGGGAATGACTTAGGACGAGGGTGTCATGCAGCAGCGATGATGCATATTTGGTTACGTTGGTCCTCCTCCTCCTCCTCCTCCTCCTCCTCCTCCTCCTCATCCGCCCTCTTCCTCCTTCCTCCGCCTCCTCCTCCTTCTCCTCCTCCAGTCCCTCCTCCACTCCGTCCATCCATCATCCTTTGTGTGCCCGGGACGCGCGCCCTCCTCGATGCTGGCGTCCAGCAGGTTGTACGAAGAGGGCGCCATGACCTCCCGCGGGCGTCTTGGGGCTCCAGAGGACCGCGCAGCACCGAAGGCTGCGAGGGGCGAGCAGGAGAAGGTACTCCTCGCTCCCTCCCTCCCTCCCTCCCTTTCTCCCTCCCTCTCTCCCTTCATTCCTCCATACTCCCGCCAACCCACCCACCCGCCAATCTCTGTGTATAGATGGAAAGGGTCCTGGGACGAGAGGGCGTCTTGCAGCATCGCTGAAGCGTCCTGGGCTTGCTCTGGTCCCATTCCTCCCCGCCTCCTCCTCATCCTTCTCCTCCTCTTCCTCCTCCTGCTCTGTATCCTAATCCCTGTGTTCCCTCTCCTCATTGCTCTCCCCTCCCTCCTCCTCCCCACCTCTCCTCGCACTGCTCCTTGTCATCATGCTGTTCCTTCCCCATCGTCCTCCCTTCCTACCCTTTCCGCCATCCCCTCCTACCCCTTCCGCACTCCCCTCATACACCGCATCCGTCCTCCCTTCCGCCTCCTCCCGCACCTCCTCCTCCGCCTCATCCTCCTCGTCTTCCTCTTCCTCTTCCTCTTCCTCTTCCTATTCCTCCTCCTCCTCCTCGTCCCCTTCCCCCTA